TATTTTTCATTTCTATAAGAGGACCTTGTTTGGTTATGTGCATCTTAGTTATGCAGAGACCGGGTGTGATGCTTAAACCTTTTAAGTAATAAAGCGCCTCTTTTCAAAAAAAAATTAGCACACCCACCACCATCAATCATCAACTTGCATGTTCTGCCCTTTGTATGAAACTGAGTCTGAAATAAAGTCCAACATTGACCTTTGTCAACTGCCATGCAAGTGTCATCATGTACCTTCTTGAGTTGCACATTCAACCCACTCAATGTTGCAGTCTCCTCTGCCTCGTTTCTGTGGATACTACTGTGGTTGGTGCAACCAAAATCGTGTTAACAATAATATTCTTCTCTGGGAAGTACTCAAGGGTGTTATTGCCTTGTTGTCATTCTCCATCCAAACTACTGCCTTGTCCTTCTCGGATGATGAGGACATCGCTACCATGGATACAGCTACGACCACATTACTTACTGTACATTTGGTCAAGAAATGATAGAAAAACAAAGGGACATGATTATGTTATGTACAAGGTCTCCACATGGCCTTTGGCCCACCAGAAGTTAGAGACCAAGTCCGTCTAGACATGGACTCAGATTCTGACTACACAGACATATCTGACCTCAAACATTTATAACTTTCATCCAATTTGGATATTTGTTCAGATCACATGAATTTCATTAACCTTTCAACCCAATTGGATTCGTCTTAAGCGAGCCGCTACTACCAAAATGGTTTGGTGCTATTGCAGAATCCGAGTCAAAAATCTCGGTTAATAAGTTAAGTGTCACCTATATGACCTAGGGTTAAGTTTCGCTGCCTTGGGACGTGCGTCCACCCCATTGGTCGCCACCTCTCAGTCTTATACAAGTTGATCAATCTCATAGTGTTTTCTTTAGATTTTGTTTTTGACAAGTTTTCTTTGTGTTTTGTTAGTTACTACCTTTGTCCTGGTTTATTGGCCCCCATTGTATCCTATGCCAAATTTTGACCATAAGTTCAACTTATAAAATGTTCATGCATGTCATTAAAAAATTATATTATTAAAAACTATATATAAATACGAATCCAACGATATAATTTTTGTTGACATGCATTAACGTATTGTTAGTTAAATTTTTGGTCAAAATTTGACACAAATTATAAAGAAGACCAACAAACAAGGATGGAGGTAGTAATAACGTATTGTTAGTTAAATTTTTGGTCAAAATTTGACACAAATTATAAAGGAGACCAACAAACCAGGATGGATGTAGTAAAAGTTAGTGATGGTTATTGTTTGTTCTTCGTCGGTTAGATCATGCTCCGTCGTGATCAATAACTTCTTAGAGTTGGCTTAACGATGCTAAGACACGTTGTGGTCAGAAAGTCAAAGTCTACTCCAAAATCGATAGTTACTGTCTCATCGAAAGATATTAATCTTTGATAGGATCTACCTCATTTTAAGTTGGACGTTTTTTTCTTTCTATTTTGCTAGAAAACCATGCTTTATTTTATTTTTTTGTGTTGGATGTTTGTCCGTGTTATGCGGGCCAGGTTCATCTTGACATATCGATCGAATAAAGATGTCCTTTATCAAAGAAAAAAGAGAGCAATTTTTCGGTATTTGATCTGATCGTCATTACTGCAAGGTTCATCTCGCTATAACTCTTAGTATACAGCAAAGAACAACAAAGCAATTTTTCGGTATTTGATCTGATCATCATTAATGCGAACTTCATCTCGCTATAACTCGTAGTATACATCAAAGACTGATTCAAGCCCTACCACAGCCATAGAAAACAACAGCTAGATAGAAAAAGGAAATAGCATAACAAGCAGGCACCCGTCAAATTGCCCAACATTAATCAAAGGGATCTATACGTGGGTCATGCTCACTTGCCATTGCCATTCCCGTGCACAAGCATGTTGGGCACATCACCTGGAAATCACCGACACGCATGAATTAAGATAGATTGGGTGCTCAAGTATGATGGACCATTTGGTTGTTTTTCAGCTGAATCTTCCAGAAAGCATCAAATCGAATATTGTGAAAATAAACATAGATTAGACACCATACCTTCCCAGCTCCTGAACAATTGGAACAGCGTTCAGTTGTAGAAAGTGAAAAGCGTTTGGTGCCCAACAACATTTTGCTGGCAGAGCAACGGGCACATGGCAGGTATCCTGTGGTACGGAATCAAGTTTAGATAGGCAAATGAAGTAGAGTACAAAAAGCAGGGATTTTCAAGGTAATCCTCTTTGCTTATGTGCCAGATAGTTGAAAAGGAATATACTCATACCTGTCCCATGGCAATATGTGCATCTGTTCTTTTCTTGCTGCCTCACATTTTTCACTTCAACCAACATTAAGGCTGAAATTACACCAACTGCACCACCTGAAAAGGACGCCACTATGGGATCTACCTGACTGATAGATGGCCAAGAAGAAGTACAAATTATTATTCTATAAACACCGCTGGATAATCCTTTAAGAGGACAAGTTTCTTTAAATCACCTTAACTGAAGAGGCAAATACATGTTCCGTATAAAATCTTCATAAGAGGTACCACCAAGCCCTAATTTCAGTTCAAGCTGCACCAAATAATCATTTTTTAAGAAGAGTTATTACTTCAAATTACCAACATAGTCTCTGGTTTTAAGAGGACAAGGAACAACAAATTTTCAGAGAGATGAAGCTGGCACTTACTATTGGGGCTATTAAGCCACCAAAAATGATTATCCCAGATATGAAAGAGAATGATGTCAAGTAGAGTTGCTTCATTGTCTTTGGTGACTACTTCATACAAAACAAAAGAAATGAATATTACCAAGAAGAACTCAAAAGGCCATTTGCCCATAAAATAATTCAGGGTCGGGGGTCGGTCACCGTATAAGGCAAAAACGGAATGGTAGATGGCATCTCCGGCATCTCATTTTCTTCACTGCTGGAACATCTGCTTTCAGCAGCTCTGATTCGCTGCTGCACCCGCAGTCGTCTGACCTGAGAACATTGCTTATATTGAGGTAAGCTAAGTGCGCTGTTAATTACTCCCTCCGTCCGGAAATACTCGTCGGAGAAATGGATGTATCTAGACTTATTTTAGTTCTAGATACATCCATTTCTATCAATTTCTCCGACAAGTATTTTTGGATGGAGGGAGTACGAAGTTAGAAAAAAATTACAAGTGCGAAAAACAGGCACCTCTTCCATCAAAACGAATATTTTGCTGCGCCGACTCTTGATGTTGTCTTGAATCTCTTGTGATTGCATCTGAACGAAGTCTTGTATTGTCTCTGGGCCTTCAATAATGCAAAAACTAGAGAAGAGAACCATGAGTGAGTGGTCGTGGATCTAGCGGGTTTCTTGTAAACTAAGTTTACAGCGAATGTTTGTAGATGTTAGTCTAGTACTCCCTCCGTCCCAAAATAAGTGTCTTGACTTTAGTATAACTTTGTACTAGAGTTAGTATAAAATTAAGACACATATTTTGGGTACATAAGAGATAAGTCATTCACTGTAGGTAAGTATAAGTATATCTACCAGTTTGATGCAGAATTTTACGCTTTAGCACACTAATGATACTGTATCCACTCACGAGTCAAAGATAAACATTGAAAACTTGTATATACTCGGCTAGGAAGTTGTAAAATCTCAAGCACAAACCATGAATTATCGTACAAAGCAGCAAGTACAGTACTAACTTAACAACCCTGTCATTCCATCAATTTTGTACACCAGGGGAATTTTGATTTGATGTGGAGGCTGGTGTAAAAGGCAACCTGGAAAGGCTGCCGTCTCCGGGCGCCCTGGAGTCGCCGGCGGGAGAGCACCTCCGTAGCATCGTTAGAGCCCGGGGGCCTTCACTCCTCCATACAGCGGGATGAGGCTCAACGGACCGCCAACGGGGAGGAGCGGCCACCGCAACAAACAGACGCTGGGCCGTAGGCCTTGACGCTGGCGGCGTCGCCGAGGCCGCGGCTAGGCAAGACATGGCCGGTCCGCGACACGCAGTGTGGTGAGGGCGTAGGAAGAAGGCGGTGTTTGGATAAATGCCGGGCGGCTCGGGGCGACGGGCGGTTGTTTCGCGGTGGGATCTGACAAGGCGAGCAGTAGATGACAAACGTGGAGAGACGAAGCATCTCTTCACTCCCCCGTTCACAGTGAAGGATGATTCTGCATTAAAAAAAGAAGAATTGGCACTACCGGTCAAATCACTATTCCATGAGAAACAAATTTAGATACAATATAACTGAGTGTATTTCCAGCCATCTCAGTCCTGAGCCTCTTTCCAACCATCCCAGTTTATTAGCATTTTAAGCCTTTAGAACAGCAGTTTGGGATGATTTTGGCCGTTAAATTTCCTCTTAATCCCGTGTCACGTCACTTCATTAGCTATTCCGAGCAGAATTCGTAGTGGGCCGCTACTCCGGTGATAATTTTGGAAGCCTGGTGTGAAATTGGGCCTGGGCTTCTACCCAGTCAGAAAAAAAAACAGCAAGCACGCCTTCCATTTCTTCATCCTTGCCACGACCAGTCGCTCATGATCTCGTGATTAGGGTTGCGTCTGCCGCCACTAGCACTCCTGGCTCTTCCGGCGTCGTCGACCGCCTAATCGGATCATGGCCGCGCCCCGCGATCCCCTCTTGACCCGGGGACAAATATGATCCTCCTCCTCCTCACCCCCGTTCCCGTGGGTCGAGCCGCCGCCTCCTCCTGGTCATCTCTGTTGTTCCCTTTTGGCTCGCATCCGTTCGCGGGGCAGTCCTCTATCATCCCTATGCTTCATGGCGGAAGGATTCATTTGTCTTTGCCCAATCGCCGCCTACTTCCGTCGGTGCAGCTCTAGGAGAGAGGATGGGGTGGAAGATCTATATGGTTTAAGAGCCACATCCCACGTCGACATGGTAAATCCTTACCCAAGACCCCCCGTGCCATTCTCGATCTGGCAACCTTGAATTTTCATTGATGCCAGCATGCACCCGCTTGCAGAGTTGTAGGTATATCTCGCCTCTGTTCTCTTGTGTGTTGTACATCCCAGGAGATAGTCATGGTGTTATTGATGAGATCCCTCCAGCAAATATAGTACCAACCACATGGCTGCTGCTGATTAGGAGCTACACTACATAACGTGCTGCACCATGATGTGGTTCTGTGGTATTCTTCCTTGCATTGAGGAATTAATCACTATGGTTTACAAGTTTATGCAAATGTGTACATATAATTGACAAGTCTAGGCTCATTCCAAGCTCCATGGCTCATGATGCGAAATTTTGTTGCTAATAGGATTTCATCTATGGCAATTAGTATTTTCAAGTTGTAAGACTGATGGAAAGAAGACCCACGTAAATTTGTGTGATGTTATAATAAGAAATTCAAAATATGTGTTTTCCTCTTATGGGCTAATAAACTATTTTTCCTGTAACATGCGCATTGCAGCTAGGATATGCTATTCACATAAACTGCTCACCTGGAAATGAGAGTGTTATATTGCTTCATGTCCATTAATAACTAATATCGCTATGCATGGTTGGAGGCAATTTTAGATATCTGAATTACACAGTTGGTAAATAATGCCAATAATGTACTCCCTTCATTCCTAAATACAAGCCCTTTTAGAGATTCTAATATGGATTACATATGGAGCAAAGTGTGTGAATCTACACTTTAAAACATGTCTATATACATTCGTATGTAGTCCATATTGATTTTTTTTTAAAAACAAAGGGAGTAGATAGCTATCATGTCCGGATGTGCCTCCGTCAAAGGTACATGTTCAATTTCTATAATATGTTCTCGAATATGTAATTGTGCATGGTGTTAATTATTACTATAATTTGGCTTTTCATATTTCTGTACTCTGTGGTCACATTGCTCTTTTCGCAGTTTTGACTTTTTTTGCAATCAAGAACTACTCCCTCCGTCCCATAATATAAGAACGTTTTTGATACTAGTGTAGTGTTAAAAACTTTCTTATATTTTGGGATAGAGGAAGTACATTTTATCAAATAATCACAAATGCCGCGTGTCTTAATGGACAACTCTTAGAATGTATGATGAATCTTATACCATAGCATCGACATCCTGTTGTTAGTTCTGAATCACCTTCTAGGTTTTCGGCTCATAGTATTAGCCCATCACATATTGCAACATGGGCATGAAGCTGTACCTCTCCTCCATCACCCAATTTATATTCCTGTTTGAGCAAAGCATAAGCATATATGTTTAAATCCAAAATCTAAATATGTGTTTGGATGTCAATTCATTAGGCAAAAATAGAATGGTGCAGAAAAAATAGGATTGCCCAAACTTTTTCAGTTCAATGAACTGAACTTGACAATCCAAATCAGAAGATACATGTATTAGCATTACAAAGAAACATTAGAGACAATCTATAGAGCACAATACTAATGGAATCTGGCACTTTGCCATCTGCCATGGCAGATGGCAAAGGCATGGTCGACGGATGGCAAAGGCTTTGCCATCTGCCAGCAGATGGCAAACAGTTTGTCTGAAACCCTGCCGGTAAAGGCTTCTTTGCCGCCTGCTGGCTGATGGCAAAGAGCCTGTGCCTTTGCCATCAGCTGGCAGATGGCAAAGCCTCTTAACAGGGTTAGCCCCGTTAGAAGGCTAACGGCATACTTTGCCATCTGCCAGCAGATGGCAAAGGCTGCAGGCTCTTTGCCGTCTGCCAGCAGATGGCAAAGGCTGCATGCTTTGCCATCTGCTGGCAGATGGCAAAGAGCCCAAATAGGCCAGCCCAAATTTTACATGTAGATGACACGTGGCCTCTTTGCCATCTGCCAGCTGATGGCAAAGCTCTTGGCCATCTGCCAGCAGATGGCAAAGTGACTATATTGCCCCATTTAATTTTGATTTTTCTTATATCAGTTCCTTTTCACAGAAAATCAAACACAAATATATTTATATGACCAATATAGCATATTCAGCACATATTACCAATAGTCATGAACACATATATATCCAACACATGTTACCAATAGTAGCAAGTTTCATCCGTACATATACATAGTTTCATCAATATTACACAGTTTCATCCATAGGTAGCAAGTTTCACAAGGTCAAAACAAAAACTAAATACAAGCACTCCATCAATCCAAACTTCCGTGATCTTAAGTAAATCTGTAAAATAGGAAAGAAGAAAGTTAGAAGAAGAAGACTAGAAGAAGAAGATTATTATGATGCGGAAATATGCATGGATTGTCAAAACTTGCATTATCCTACTATCACTAGTACAACAAAGCTGCAGGTTGGCATAGTTCATGAACCATGTACATCATGACAAATACAATATCATCCAATGCTCAACTATGAACAAAATTGAACAATTACACCTCACAAAGGCAGAGCATAGAACCAACAAGCAAGTAGGAGGGGTATAAGAGGACTTGAGGAGCTCACTGGAGGGGGTTCTAGCCTAGGCCGAGCTTCATCACCATGGATGCAGCTAGGGGAATCAGACGAGTCTACCATCATAGGAGCAGCAGCACCACCACCGCCAAAACTGGAATGGCCGGAGCGAATCACCATCATATGTGTACAACTACCAGTGTTGTAGTACTTGAGGAAGATGAATACAACACAGCTCACACACATAGGTACAAAGTAATAGAATACAGACAAGTTACTAAGTGGAGTAGTAGTAGAAGGGACCTAAGCTAGCACCCATGCCAAGAGACATACTACTAGTAAATTGTTGTTATGGGTGAGACAAGAGCACAGGTGGTGCTGCTAGAGAGGGAACTATGGGCACTCGGAATAAATTAACAGAGTATGCATGCATGGGAAAACTCAAGAGTAAAATTGGAAGTAAACTGAGCCATCTAAACAGTACTAGTAAGCATGCACGTGCAACGCACGTTTCAAACGTTGATCAACTGAGTTCACGTGGTATAAAACTAAAATATGTTTTGCAAATAAATAAATTAAATGGATACAAAATAGCATGTCGTTCAAATTGTATTTTAAAAAGTGAGACATCACTGTGATCCAACAACCAGATGAAGAATCAGTGTCTGGCCTCGACAACCAATGTTTTTATGCAAAATGATTTCTGATATGAATTTACACACAACCAATATGTAAGTTCCGAGCAGATGCAAAATGATTTCTGGGGGCGGCGACGATGGAGTGGGATGGGATAGGGTTTGGGTGGTTGGGCTGCCCGGGGGGTGGGGGTTCTTTTTCTTTCTTTCTCTTTTTTTGTTTAGATAAATGGGATGGATGGATGGATGCCATGTCATCAATCCATGACACAAACATTTCAACCAATGAGAACAAAAATAACCCCACAATTTTTTTTACCTGGAAAAAAATTACCCCATCTCTTTGCCATCTGCCAGCAGATGGCAAAGAGGTGGGGCTGGTACGCCATTACACTCTTGACGGCCACAGGATTTGCCAACCTCTTTGCCATCTGCTGGAAGATGGCAAAGATTATTTGCCATCCACTAGCAGATGGCAAAGAATTGGCTGATGGCAACCATGTTCTTTGGCATCTATCAGTTCTTTACCAACTGTTTTTTATAAGCAGATGGCAAAGACGTTCTTTGCCATCAGTTGGCAGATGGCAAAGAGCTGGCTGATGGCAAATTCCCTGTTTCCAGTAGTGCAAGGAGCAAATCAAACGTATGATGGAAACTACGAAGGGACGGAACTTTAGAATTATTTGGCAGTCCATGGCAGAAACAGGACTATAGATATGCCTTTGTTACTTCTCCAAGTTAATGTTCCTTTCTTAAAGAATTGGTGGATACATTTTGTGAGCTCCCATGCAACCACTTCAACACCTTTTACCATAGTCAGTTCATCCATGCCATCGTATTTACTATTTAGCAATCATTTTTTCAACTTCAACTATGTATCTGACATGAGGTGTATCAATTTATTTAATACACGTAAGTAGAAAACCAATTGATAATATGTGAAAATAAAAGAGTTCTGTATAGTTTTTTTGGGTTAATTTTTGCCTTT